AAAGGCAGTTTTGCTTTCTTGACTGCTTCATTAGATAAGATAGTTAGATTAAACAAATATGAAGGAAATGAACAGATTAAAGATTGGGAAACTCGTTTCAGATATACAAGCACCAACCCATATATCAAATCTAAAACTGATTTGAATTTGCTGACTGATAAGGGTGTATATCCCTATGACTATATGAACTCATGGGATAAATTTGATGAAAAAAACTACCAAAGAAAGAAGACTTTTATAGTCAATTATACGAAGAAAACATAACTGACAAAGACTCCACCAGAGCAAATATTGTATGGAAACATTTTAACATAAAAAATCTTGGTGAATATCATGATTTGCATTTGATGACTGATGTATATTTACTGACTGATTTTTTTGAAAATTTTAGGGATATGTGTTTGAACTATTATGGATTAGACCCAGCATATTATATCACTTTGCCTAACTATTCTTGGAATGCCTTTTTATCACTAACAGGAGTTAGACTTCAACAAATCCATATAAAGAAATGTATGAGATGATTGAACATGGATTAAGAGGAGGAATGACACAGTGCTCCTTTAAGAAAGTAGAAGCAAACAATAAATACATGAATGAAGATTATGATAAATCCAAACCTTCATCATACATAAGTTATTTAGATGCTAATAACCTTTACGGATTAGCAATGTGTAAGAAACTGCCTTATGACGATTTTAAGTGGTATTACGGTAGGATGGATGAAAAGAGAGTAATGAAATATAGTGATGATGATGACATAGGATATATATTGGAAGTTGATTTAGATTATCCAAAGGAACTTCATGATTTACATAAAGACTACCCACTAGCGCCTGAAATCATGTGTGTCAATGAGAGTATGCTTTCACAAGTCCAAAAGGATATACACAAATACTACTACGGAAAAGATGCCAGTGATGAAAAGACAAATAAGTTAGTATTAAATGTGATGGATAAAAAGAAGTATGTTTTACACATATCAGCATTGAAATTCTATTTGCAACACGGATTACGTCTTAAAAAAGGCCATAGAGCAATAAGTTTCAAACAAGCAAACTTCTTAAAACCATTCATTGAATTCACACCGAAAAGAGAAAGAATGCCAAAAATGATTTTGAAAAAGATTTGTTTAAGTTAATGAATAACAGCGTAGAAGGCAAGACCATGGAAAATGTAAGAAAGCATGGTGATTATGAGATAGTTAATACACCTGAACGCTTCCAAAAACTGGTAAACAAACCGCTATTCAAGCACAGGCATATCACAAATGAAGACCTTGTAATTGTTGAAAAAGATAAACACAGAGTGGAACTAAACAAACCTATCTATATGGCTATGTCTATTTTAGACAATTCTAAAATTCACATGTATTCGTTTTACTATGATGTTTTGAAACCCAAATATGATAATAAAATTAAGTTGGCATATACTGATACTGATAGTTATGTAATCAAAGTTGAGACTGATGACTTATATGAAGACTTTAAGGAGATTAATGAATACATGGCTTTTAGTGATTATCCACCAGAGCATTCAAACTATGATAAAACAAATAAGAAGGTATTAGGAAAATTCAAGGATGAAATGAACGGTAAAATAATTACTCACTTTATAGGATTAAAACCAAAAGCATATTGCTATAAAGTATATGGTGGTGAGAGAGAACACAAGAAGAGTAAAGGAGTAGTCAAGCATAAAGTGAGCAATCAGTTAAGTTACAAAACTTATGAAGAGACACTGAATAGAAACTGTAAAGAAGAAGTCAGTTTTAACACTATCAGAAGTAAGAACCATCAAATCTATAGCATTAATCAGACTAAATATGCTTTAAGCAACTACGATAATAAACGCTACTGGCATTCAGATTTTGAGAGTCTCCCATTTGGACATTACGCCATCAAATATCTACATCACGAAAAGATGATTTAAGATATATGTATATAGATAGATGTGAACAGATATGAAAACGGACAAGTTTATAAGATAGTTGATGTTGGTTAAAATAAATGCTACATCGATTCAACAATTGAAAAGCTGAGTCAAAGAATGGCAAGACATAGAAGAGATTGTAAATCTTATCTATATAAACTTAAACAATAGAAATCACCAAAAACACCATGCTAACTCCATGAAATTGTTTGAGGAGTTCGGTGTCAAAAACTGTAAAATAGTTCTCATTGAAGAATACCCATGCCAAAACAGAAAGCAACTCGAAAAGAGAGACGGTGAATATATTGGAAATGATAAGAGCCGTCTAAACAGATGTATTGCTGGTAGGACTAGAACGGAATATTACGATGCCACCGGAGAGCATCACCTCGACCAGAAGAAACAACACCGAATATTCAAATAGAGAATATTGAAAAATACAAAGAAAAAGACAAACAGCATCATGAGAACAAAAAACAAAATACAAGAACAGAAAAATAAAGATACATATACTGAGAAGACTTTAAGAATAGAGAAGAAAACAGAGAAGCAATGAGGCAAACACAAAGAAAGAGATACCAAAGAGAAAAAATAGAATTAATACCCAAAAGCAGAGAAAGGCGAAAACAGAAGAACAAAAAGCAATTACTAATCAACCAAAAGTAGTTCATGCCTGTTATATCTTTTACTCATTCCATCTAGTTTATAGTATCTATTATTCATCATATCACGACCAACTAATATCACTTTGTATTTCCTTTCACTCCATTGACTTCTAGTTTCTTTCCTTGATACATAGTTGCCCTTTCCTTTATCAAATATCTTAACATAATCTCCTTCGCTTATGTTTGGATATTTTCTGTTATGCTTTTCTTTCAGTATCAGATTTGTTCTGACCTGAATTACGTTATCAAGATTGTGCGCATTATTTGGTGCTGTCTTGGTGCTACCATGGACTTGGTTGTTGTATCTATTCAATGATGGCTTTAACACTTCCACCCATGTTTTGGTTTTGTAATGCCTCAATCTGTCCCCAATCATTTTTTTGACTGTGCGTATCATCCTTTCTGCCTGATTTGCATGCGTCTTTGTTATTACGTGTGTTATACCTTCCTCCCTAAAAAATGTTTGCAGCTTCTTGCTGTTCAACGCTTCTTCGTCGTCGCTGTAAATCGACAAAGGCTGACCTAATATTTTAAAACACTCCATGACTGCTTTATAATCGTCATCACCATCTTTATTCTCGATAGGGACTATGTGACATTTTTTGCTGAAAATATCTATGCATATCAAACCATATCTTAGTTGACTCTTGATTTCAGAACCTACGTCTCGTAAAAAACTGTTAACATCCATCAAATCAATTTGGAATTCGTATTTTGGAAATGGTGTAGTGTAGGAATTGTAGTTCTTGTAATTTCTTGTTTGCTTGTTCGGTTGTGCCCTCATCCATGTAGAAACCATCTCCAAAGTCATGCCTACATCGACTTTCCTAGCCTTTTGGTATAAATCTCTCACCGAACCGAAGCCCTCCTCAACGTCGTGGTATATTCTTTCCAATACCTTTTCTTTTTCCAATCTTGTCATTAAAAACACTTAGATTATAATTTTATGATACTTTCTTGCATCATAAAATCATAGTGAACTCAAACCGAGAACCTCTGGCACTTCTTCGTTTTCTTGTGCTTTGCCAAGTTTGATTTACAGCTTATGTCAGAACCACAAATATCACATACACAACATCGTTTCGTGTTTTCTTGGTAATATTTTTTGAAATAGTTTTGGTCGTTTGGTTTTCTGTTGTAGTATCCGTCATCCTGTTTGCTCCACTGGGGTTTCGCAAGTTTTTCCACTACTGAAATTATTTCGGGGCCTCCTTCAGACGAAGGTGACGTTTCACTGTCGAACGGTTCTTTGTTTCCAAAACTGTTCCAAATAAAGTCAAATGTTTCATCAGCCATTGGCATTCCAACTCCGTTGCTTACAAAGTAGCAAGGCATACTGTGTATATACTTGATTGTATATGCCGATATGTCTTTAAGTAAATTTCCATTTTCAATCAGAAATATCAAAATTGTCCCTACGTCATCTCTACGTGCCTTCTCATACAAGACCCTAACAGAACAAAAAAAGTCAAAAAACAATGTTCCACATCAAAGTTAACAGGTTTGAGCAGTTTACCCTCCAACTTGCTACCGATTGACCTATCTTTAGAGACGCCCAGTGCTTGAACTTCAAAAATCGAAACCCAAACATGCTCAGCGTTCAAAGCAGTGAGATTTGAGCTTTGTCCCAAAACAATCCAAAAACCGAGCTAGTCTTTCCCGAAAACCGAGCTAGTCTCTCCAAAAACCGAGCTAGTCTTTCCCAAAAACCGAGCTAGTTTTTCCAAAATATTCTCAAAATCTGTGGCAGATTTTCCCCAAATCCACGGCAGATTTCTTGCAAAATCCATGGCAGACTTTTTCGAAAATCCGTGGCAGTTTTTTCCCCAAGTCCGCGGCGGATGTTTCCAAAATCCATGGCAGATTTTCCCAAAAACCGTGGCAGATTTTCACCAAAGATTGTTCCAAAACCGGTGGAATTTTTCCCAAAACCGGCGGCAGATTTCCCAAAACCGGTGGCAGATTTTCCTAAAATCTGTGGCAGACTGTTCACAAACTGGTGGAAGATTTGCCCAAAATCGGTGGCAGATTTTTCCCAAAATCTATTCCAATTTTGTACAATCTGTATTCACATTTTTGAACATGTATTTAAGTGAATTCTAAAGGCTTAAAGGCTTAATCTGTATGCAAATGATATTGAAAACTGTGCAAACATTTGCATATGAAAGGCGCAACTCCTTCGAACTCCAAACAATTGTTTGTAAATTATATCTGCTTATATACATGATATATGCGCATAAGCCTGCCGAGACAAGATTTCCAAAGCAGGTTTCAGGTGGAATGGCATTCCACTAGGGCGACAAAACAAATTTTCGAGAACTAAATGCACAAATGTGGCGAAAGGGCAACAGCAAACAAGACGAAGGAACTTAGCAAATCCACAGCCCCTTGCAATCATCTGTCCTACGTCAGCATACCAACTGCAGGTTGCAACTGCCTTTTTCCACACACGGAGTTACTGCAGGCACTTCTCAGTTTGTCCCAAGGCTTCTTGAGAGCCTCTTCCCAAGTCTTCAAGCCAGTAAGCTCATGTGGCATTTCAATATTGAAGCGCCCCTTCGAGATGGAGATATGATTGTCCTTCAAAGCCTTGCATTCGGGGCATTTAAAATGTGCGTAGCTGTCTTTGGGAACCAAATAAATCAAGAGGCATTCGAGTTCTTTTTTCTTCTCTTCTGCTATCTGCTGACAAGCACCAACAATGCTTTTGATGTCATTCCACTGAGCCTCTCCGTGCTTCTGTCCAACTGTTTCTTGAAACATCAGCAACTGCCATTTCCCAGTATCTTCAGCTTCAATCAGTCCGAACATGTCGATCGACCCGTAGTTGATTGGCGCTTTCAACAAAGCTCCGCACTCAATCTTGGGCTTCATGGACTTTTGGGTCTTCGTCTGCTCTCGTTCGAAAGTACCACTGCTTTTGAAACGTCCTTTCATCTCATTGGGGTCAAACGTGCACGTCTGCCCTTTTGCCAACTGCTTGTATGCCCATTCCTCGAAAATGTGCCCAAAGGCTTGCATTGAAAATGGGTTCTTCATCATCTGCGCAATCTTGGCATGCTTTTTCTGGCAAAGTTCCAATGCATTCCGAAGGAAATACATGGAAATATTCAGCTACAGGTTTGGAAATGAAGCTCTGGGTGCCCCAATCTTGGCCAGTGCCATCTATCTTCATGAGTTTGTATGGCAACCTTCCGTCTAGCAGGAGTTCATCCGGCTTCGCCACACTTGTCTGCATGAACTCAAACAGTGCATTTTGTTTATCCAGCTCCTTCGAAGAGGACCTCACTGCTGTCTTCATCTCGGCCTCCGTGGTCAAATCATCACGGAGACACCAGCGTGGAACGTATCCAAAATTCCTTATCAGCTCATCGCTGGCATCCGGCGCCACAGCCTTGGTTTCCTCATAATTCCACATTTGCATCACTAAAACAGCTCCAATCTGGTTTTCTATCAACGCCTTTAGAAGCTCTTCACATCTTCTCCTCTTCTTATCTTCTCATATTCACATCTTCTCATCTTCACATCTGCTCATCTTCACATCTGCTCATCTTCACATCTGCTCATCTTCACATCTGCTCCTCTTCACATCTTCTCATCCTCATATCTGCTCATCTTCACATCTGTTCCTCTTCACATCTTCTTATCTTCACATCTTCTCATCTTCACATCTTCTCATCTTCACATCTGCTCATCTTCACATCTGCTCATCTTCACATCTTCACATACTCGCACTCACATCTTCACATACTCACATCTTCTCTCTCTCTCTCTCACTCTCTCTCTCCTCTTTCCTCTCTCCTTTCTCTCTCTCCTTTCTCTCTCTCCTTTCTCTCTCTCTCCTTTCTCTCTCCCTTTTCTCTCTCTCTCGCCTTCTTTATCTTTCTCTCTTTAGGCCGAGGGTGGTGCCGGCGGGGAGTCACGAAACGTGAACCCTTTCGCACGAAATGAGGGTCGATGGGCAAAAACTGAGGTAAAATTGCGATTTTACTTGTGCCGGACTTGTCCTGGAGCAACCCTTTCGCACGAAATGAGGGTCGATGGGCAAAAACTGATGTAAAATTGCGATTTTACTTGTCCCGGACTTGTCCTGGAGCAACCCTTTCGCATGAAATGAAGGTCGATCGTCAAAAACTGATGTAAAATTGCGATTTTACTTGTGCCGGACTTGTCCTGGAGCAACCGTTTCGCACGAAATGAGGGTCGATCGTCAAAAACTGGCGATTTTGCTTGTCCCGGAGCAACCCTTTCGCACGAAATGAGGGTCGATCGTCAAAAACTGATGTAAAATTGCGATTTTACTTGTGCCGGACTTGTCCTGGAGCAACCCTTTCGCACGAAATGAGGGTCGATGCGCAAAAACTGAGGTAAAATTGCGATTTTACTTGTGCCGGAGCAACCCTTTCGCACGAAGCGAGGCTCGATGTGCAAAAACCGAGGTAAAATTGTGATGTAATTGGTGTTGGATGTAAAAGGGTGTGAGTGAAAGATCTGCTTGTAAAAGCTGTTTGTGTGTAAAAGTGTTTGTGCGTAAAAGCGTCTGTGTGTAAAAGCGTCTGCGTGTAAAAGCGTCTGTGTGTAAAAGTGTTTGTGTAAAAGTGTTTGTGTGTAAAAGTGCCTGTGTGTAAAAGCGTCTATGTGTAAAAGCTTCTGTGTGTAAAAGCGTTTGTGTGTAAAAGCGTCTGCGTGTCAACGCTTCTGTGTGTAAAAGCTCCTGTGTGTAAAAGGGTCTTTGTTAAAAGTGTCTGTGTGTAAAAGTGTCTGTGTGTAAAAGCGTCTGTGTAAAAGCGTCTGTGTGTAAAAGCTTCTGTGTGTAAAAGCTTTTGTGTGTACAAGCGTCTGTGTGTAAAAGGGTCTGTGTGTGAAAGTGTCTGTCTGTAAAAGCTTCTGTGTGTGAAAGCTTTTGTGTGTAAAAGCTTCTGTGTGTAAAAGCTTCTGTGTGTAAAAGCTTTCGTGTGTAAAAGCGTCTGTGTGTAAAAGCTTCTGTGTGTAAAAGTGTTTGCGATGCAAACTATTGTCTTGCACTTCTGCTATTTTGTCTTGATACTCCTCTTCTCGACTGCCTATAACACACATTTAATATATTGTTTGTAATATGGTGTCTCCATACTAACAAGAGAAGACCCTGCTCCTCTACGCTCTCGGGCCATCCGTCGTCTAGTCTCGTGCACAACCGAGGCACCATCCTATAAATGAATTCGTCGCATAGCCCTGCACAACGATTTAAAAACACACTACGCAATCCCATGACAAATATGACAACATGTGACAAAATATTCGACATATTTCAGAGAAATGGGACTGCAAAATCTGCAAAGCACGAGTTTCTACCAGAATCTCCTCGCCCTCACGGTCACGATCCAAACGATCTCGAAACCCTCCACCATTGCGGTCACGGTCACGGTCACCCTTGCCTTCAAAACCGACTTGGCTGGGCTCTCTGGGCTGGGCTTCACATTTGAATGGAATGGAAGCAATTTCTGGAAGATAGAAGTCGGCATTCTCGTGAGATTTCATGATCTTCAAAATTCTTCAAATGTGTATCATACTTCCTCGCACCTTTACCTTTTGGGCGGTCTCCACGGTCTCCACGGTCTCCACGGTCTCCGCGGTCTCCGCGGTCTCCGCGGTCTCCAGGACCATCTCTTTCTTTTTCCCCTTGGACGCGCCATTCCGTGCAATTGACATCACATCACCCATGCAAATCTTAGTCTTAGCATGTCTTAGCTGCAAAATAGTATAGCATGTAATAGCATGCAATACTGTAATATGTAAGAGCTACATAATGATAGATAACAGCATATAATAGCTACAAGATGCTACAAGAAGACGGCTTTGAGCAAAGCACATGGCCAGGGCCTTAAGCAAATGTGTGGAATGGTGTGAAGGCTAACGGTTTCAGTGTGATCAGAATCTCGCCATCTTTCTCTTCATGAAGTCGAGCAAGGCGTTGAGCGGACCTTGGTGCTGTCTACTACAACTTATGTTAATGCAGCGTATGCAGCACCATGAGACAATGTCAACACATCTCAAAACTACCACTGCTGATGTCGAAAAACAAAAGACTCAACTAAAATGAAAAGATACGCAATCAACTAAACAAATCTAATAAACATGAAATTGAGGCCATTACTTTTCCTTTGCTGCAGCTAGCTCTTCCTTTGCAGCCTCATCAGAACCGATTATAAATTATAAACGACAAACGCTCAGACATAAACACATTAGCAAACATCACCTGGATATCATTATGTCATTGCGTGGTTGGAATTGGATACGACATGTATTCCCTGCATTGGACTTGTACCTATACATATATTATATCTATACAATCTTGCGATCTGACGATCTGATAAGAGTGCGAAGGCAAAAGCACACTTGCCACCTGCCTGTTCTATCCACTACAGAGCCAGCAACACAACCAGATCGTGCATACGCATGCATACATACATTCGTAGAGTGTTATATGATTTATATGTACATATGTATGGCTGCGGAGTCCTCGTCCATGTTCATAGTCTTGGCAGCTTTTGCAACATCCTGCTTAGATCTCCAAACAAATCGTCTTGCTAGCAGCAAACTTGAAAGCAAATTGCTTGCCAATGCTTGCGCATAATAATGAAATTGATATGCATGTGTTCAGGGGTCTGAGCAGCGTATGTTTGAGTGCTTGTATTGCTTTTGAACAAACAGCATAGTGAGAGCATGGCATCATTCTCGCATCGTTTCTCAAATACCCAAATAGATAAATAGTATCAACACATATCAAGCACAGTGCTTGACATTATCGTACATGTCCTCCTAGCCAGCATCATGTTTGTAGATTCTGATGAAAAGCTAAGTAAAAAGAAGAACCTAATTACTGAATGTATATTACTGTACATAGCTAACTGCATGAAACATCATGCAGCGCGATTCAGAACTGATCAGAACTAAAATACAGAAGCAACACTTCATGAAGCGAGTCAACTTGTGTCAACGTGCCAGTTTGTCCTCCGGCAGCATGCCTTGGTCTGGGGTGATTGTAGCAGTAGCTACTCCATTCATGTCACTGGAGACCGGTGGTTGATGTTTGTCTGCGTAATTCTGCGTATGCCAGGCTGCCAGGTTTCGCACAATGCTTCACTGCTATAATTACTGTAATGCTTTCAAAGTTGCTGGTCAAGCCTTCTAAAACGTGTTGGACCCACGTTTCTCCGTTCGTGCTCTTTCGCACCAGCATTTCCTCCGCGGAATTGGGATTGCTGAACTGATCAGCAGGAGGCTGGAAACCAAAAGCATTGCAAGGTGGAACCAATGCGAGACACCCCTGAAGGCGGCTTCCATCTGTACTGTAGAATCTGAATCTGTTCATCAAGATCGCAAAAGTGAGCAACAAGCATCGGTTCAAGGGCAACGGGCGTAAAACTAGCAAGAACCACTTGTGCCAAGGGAATCTCAAGTGAACGAGAATCAAATAATTAGAATGCCAGAATATGATAGAATGAGCATGAATTCGCAAGGACTGTCTGCATGGACTGTGTTCAAAGGGGTTTGTGGCCGGAGTCATAGTGCAGTGATGTGCAGTGCAGGAGAGGTTCCAAAGGGCCAGGGTTGTCGAAGGTTTCCATCTTTGCACCATTCAAGCCAATGGCTTCAAAAATTTGGGCGATCTTCGCCTGCGCGGCATCCACAGGTCTGGTTTTGTGTCAGGTATATAAATTCTATCAGCCAAGTCTACTGTGTCACCATTGGAGTGGCCTCACGATCAGTTCGAATGAAGGCGGGCTTCTCCTGGGCAATTCAGGCATGGACGCCAAAATCAAACAAAGGACAAATTCTGACAAACAACAACAACTGCAAAGTGTCTTGATGTGTCCTGCACACTCACTTTCTCTACAATGTATCCCTACAACTTCTCTACAGTTATATATCTCTGCCACTTGAATCCTCTGTCTTAAGCTGTCTCTCTCTCTCTTTCTCTCTTTCTTGCTTCCTTTCTTTTCTTTTCTTGTCTTTTGTTTTCTCTCTCCCTCTCTCTCCCTCTCTCCCAATTTGTGCAACCCTATGATCCTACTCTGGCTGATGTATAGCGCATACACAGATGCAGGATCAGTGGGAGCATGTGCTGTGCCACCAAGTCCTTCAGTTGCCCTTTCTTCACCTAAAGCAGAATTCACAAGTCAAAAGCGGGTGGTTAAAACGGAAACCCTTTGTATACTGTATATATTTGCATTCCATAGTTGCCACATTTCTCGGCACACGTCTCTGCGTAGTTTGGTCGCATCAGCACATCCTCTTAGATCATGTTGGATCATTTTTGCCTAGGGTTCTTAGCGATTTGTTCTGTTGGACGTTAGACCAAGTTGCAAGAAGATCACACAGGTTCTTGGCCAACTCTTCTGAACTCCAGGATGCCTCAAAGGGAGCCATGACCTCACAGTGCCAAAAACTGGTGTTCAATTTGGTCTAAGTTATTCTCATTTCCATGGTTCCGAGAGCACCCCGCTCCATGCTGCCTCGAGCCTAGCGGTACAATTTACTTTACTTGAGAGTGGGAATCACCTCTCACAGGCTCAAGATCCAAACAGAAACATAAAAACATGAAACATGAAAAGACATGAAAAAACAATCTGCTAGAAGCTGTGGTGGGATCAGCCAAGGCGAGCATAGCATGTCAATGCCAAGTCAAAGGCTATGCGGCTATGCATCAAGACATATCGAAACCAAATCAAAACTTCTCTGACATCCTAACCAATCCGACCAAGAGACGAGGAGATTGAAAAACGGCCCCCTTGCGATGACCACTTAGGGTCACAATTTGCAGCTGACTGTTGGAAGCAAGGCAGGTGGCTCTTCCGAAGTCACCCTACTCTAGTTTTCACATGACATTTGTGGAATGTGTGAAGTGTTTTTCTTCATTATTGTTCTGTATCTTTTATGATCTTTTATGGTATTCTATGGTAGTCTATGGCTGTGTGACCTGAATAATTTCTGACGCTTCGAGGACATGTTCTCTCAACGTCAACTCATGTCGTCCAAAGCCAGCACTGCAGGCGAGACAGCAATAGACAGCACACTCAGCAGGACAAATCTGCGAAAATTCTGTGAATTTACAGGTGCAATATGATGCAATGACATTCCTTTCATGTGCAATATGGAAACGACATGAAATGACAAAGTGCAGCCAAGGAAAGACTGCCCGAGTCAACTCACAATGCAAGATGACATGAGACTCGAAGAGGGCCGGCATGGCTGGCAGTGATCAAGGACAAACAGCTTTAAACAAAAGCAAACACATCATCTTGCAGTGAGGCACCGCTAAAAGCTTCTCCACAGCTCGAGGTGACACTGGAGCGGGCCTTGATCTGCGCTCTGCGATACCATTGGGAACCAAGGCATTGCAACGAAGCAACAATCAGATGTGCCCTGTTTTTCTGCAGGTGCATCGAATCAAAAACATAAGCAACTATACATCAGCTGGGGATCCAACCGCTGGATCAACGGACCAAGCATCGTTCTGCATGGTGAAGGACACCTTGCCAGTGCAAACCAGTTGGATTCTTATGTGCTTGACCGAATGGTCTGAAATGCTTGGCAAAAAGGCAGTAATGCGCTGTAATGACTGTCATATACTATCATGCTGTATGCATTTTGGGAGGCAAACATTCGGCTTCGCGGCATTGGCGATGCCATTGGTGTCGTGGGGGTTGATACAGTACCTGCGTGGCAGTATCCTGCAATGACCTTCAAACGCAAGGCATGTTGAACAGCCTCAACGGTCTCATCAATTAATACCAACCTTCAAGACTTTGGATAGCACCATCACACCGAAGTGGGGAGATGGACATGGGATAGCGGGCCTCAGATTTTGTGCCATGAGATCTTTTTACATACAGGCTTTGCAGTATCTTACATGTCCTATCTGGACACATGTATTTTCAAAGATCATGCATCACCAGAACTCAGAGGCATGCGAAATGTCCTGATCCAGGTAAAAGCGGCCTTGAATGGTCATGACGGTCATGATACATCATGATATGAGTCATGATCCTGCGAAGCGGGTGCATCCAAGGGTTTCGTGCACAAACATCACAACTTGAGAACGATTTTGATCGTCAGCATGCTGAGTGTTTGAGAACTGTGCGGTGGTGACTTCGGGCAATCCGAATGAACAGACCCAACAGATGTACAGCCTGCAAACAGTGACTCAAAGGGCCAAAATGCATCACATGCATCAAAATGCAATTTATAACCCATCGGATATTGATGACCGTAGCCACTGGCTGCCTCTATGAAACCTTCAGCCTGCATAATATTCAACAAATGTGTACACTACCCCGTCTTGACCTAGCACTGTTCTAGTCTTTTCTTGAGTCACGAAAAGCTACCACCACTACAGCCTGAAAGTTGCACTCCATGCGGCGACACAGCCCGTGGGCGGCCAGGAGGGGCCTGGTCACCAGCCGAAACCACTGTTGTCGAACTTTTTGAAATACATTGCCGCACTTCATCGCACTTCAACATTCCAAACATCACTTGAACATACTTGAACTTGTTGTTGCACCTGTTTCAATATCATGTCAGTGTGTGTGTGAAACATCTGAATAGATGTAAAACTTCTACCTGATGATGTCAATTGCCTTTGCTTTCTTTGGTTTTAGGTCCACCTCACTAACTGTTGTTTCTTTTCTACTTAACAGTCATTGCAGGGGGTAGCGGCAGATCATTTGGGACCGCTACCAAAGAAGACGCCCATTTGATCTGGTGATACAGATTGGGACGCCAATCTGCGTACCTGCGCCAATGTTCATTTCTCGTCAATGGCAACCGGCTAAGCCGGTAACCGGCATGTCGTTTGTTCAAACAGTTTCAAACCAAACTCAAACTCTCAGATTTCCACTTGATGTCACTTCAATGCCTGTACGGTTTTCGCAGTCTGTCAGGGTTGGGAACGGTTTGGCTTAGTTGAAGGGAAGTGGCAGCTTCCAATTTACTGCATCTAGCAATGGCTATGGCGATGGAAACTTTTCGATACTTTCTCAAGTCTTTTCACCGACCCATTCCTGTCAGGTATAATTGGAGTGCTTTTGCACGTAAAATGCATTCCACATCAGAATTCGCAATGGTTGTTCTGAGCAAGTGTGTGATTCATGCTAGATTCGTCACGGTGGCCTGAACCCTTCGGGGAATACCTTGCCAGGTAGGAGAGTGAATCCTCGACTTGATCTCTGAATTTACAATTTTCAACCTAGTAATTCGTTTAAGAAAAGTGAAACAGCTGGCCATTTTTCGATTTTCACCCTGTCGACTGTCGACGTGTTGAGCAACTGCCTCACCTTTTTCTGAATGCTTGTAGGTTGTAGCCTGAAGCCACGCCAGCACTTCTCTTGATTGCTGCTCGAGAGTTTGACAGACAGCTGCAGCATGAGGACTCCAGGCACAGGCCATGCGTGCAGGTATGGTGACTCTTCTTTTTATGGTCGTTGGTACAGTTCAAATGTGCACGCAATTCGAGGGTTGACCTCTTAAGCCGTTTACAGGGTTGTGACTTGACTGCGGAGGGCCTTTGAGCCTTATCACGGTTTCTGCATGACTTGTGGATGCATCATGTTTGAAACTGTTGTTCATTGATTATCCATTTTACCTGACTTGCTTCCACCGCCATGTTTCCTGGTCGTTGGCCCAACAATCCTGATTCGATGTGGAACTCCGGCTGGTCAATGCCATCTACGACACCACATCAGACTTTCGTCCCTCATGCCCAATTTTGTGGTGGTGATCCCAGTTACCAACAGTGTCAAGCTCAGACTCAGGCACAGATCCAAGCACTTCAACAGAAAAACGCGCTGTTGAATCAACAACTTTACAACCAATCCATGACCCATATCAATCACCTTCAACCGTTGATTCCTCATCAACAAACTCCACAACCTTCCACGATCCCTACGCCACCAATCCATCCCACACCACCGACACCACAGAGCCAACCTGAACCACCTACGGTGACGTCACCGAGTCCACCACCTACGCCACCGGCCTTCAACCCAGAAGAGATGATCAATCAGATGAAAATGACCTTCAAAGAAGGTCTGGCTGCCGCCGTGGAGATAGCCAATGAACGCCATTCCCAACATTCCTCCCAACCCACTCCACCAACTTCACATAACGATAGCCACCTTCCACCTACTTCCAACCAACTTCATAACACCACTCAGTTTCCACGTCGTTCTCGCCCTCTTCATCGTTCAAAAGAACTTGCCAAGACCGACAAACGTGCTATATCGACTCCGAGGAGTCCCAGACGTCGCCCACGTTCTTCTCCGCCCAGCACAAGACAACGACGTGACTATTCACCCCAAAAGGGACGTGACAGCTCTGTCACACTCAGATCAGTGTCCCCTAATGGTTGGAGTTCCAGCTATGACTTGGATCGCGAAGATCGTACCCGCTATCGCTCACAAGGACACTCCTCTCGTCCTGCTGAACCTGATCCTCCACAGTGGCATCAACAGGAGAGATCTTCCACGTATGCTGACCCTTCCCATCGTCACTCCCATCACCAGGACTCCTCCACATGGCCAGAATGGGATAACTACGTGGGGCAAATGGGGCAATCAACAATCCACGGAAAAAGCCCCATCGTGGCACAATCCACCAACATCCCATTCCAGTTCATATCACCACCAATCTTGGCAAGAACAACGCTACCCTCCACCTTGACCTGCAGCTCGCCTGTCCGCAGCTCCATATACAAGCACAAAACCACTCACTGCATACTCTTCGTCCTAAAAACGCCCCAAGACCTCGAAACGCCAAGTTCTGAACCTGGATACCATTCCAGGGGATCTTCGACAATCCCGGAGGGCCATATCCAGATCTCTCTCCAAGATGACCACAAACATATATGGATCAAAAGTGGGTCAAGTTTGGCTTGAACCACTAGCATCGGATGAAGGCTACATCCGAACTCTCCGATGCTGAAAAGCCAAAACATGCCAAAACCATGCCTCACCATTGAACATGACCAGTTTCATCAGTGCTTATAACGCCATTCGTTCCATTGACAGGGCAGTCCCACCAGAAGTAGCCAAACTGGCGGCCCACCTAATCTCCGGCTCCCGCTTGATCGACAACATTGAATTGTCGAAGGCATACGTGCTGGAACTGAAGGTCACCAATATGTTGGCCTTAGTGTTTCCCCTTCCATCCATTTCCAGGTTCCCACTGCCTGAACCATTGAAAGGGAAACAATATACCACCTGGGCCTTGATCCATGGCACCCCCCTGGAGTCGGCACAGAACATCTTGCTGGAAGGATTCATTCGACCGGCAAACTGGTCCTACAATCGAGACCATAGCAAGTGTGATGTTCCCACCTGTGGAGCCTATTACCTTGGCCGTGAAATAAGCCGTGAAAATACCATTCCTGA